ATTGTGATTCCTCCCATTTTGTTCTCTCTCAAGATTGCTGAGGCTATTCAAGGTCTTTTATGGTTCCATACAAATTTTTGAAATATTTGTTGTAGATCTGTGAAATATGCCATTGGTATTTTAATAGGAAATGCATTGAATCATTCAATCTATAGATCGCTTTGGGTAGTATGGATATTTTAATGATGTTAATTCTTCCAATCCATGAACACGGTATATGGTTCCATTTATTTGTATCTTAATTTCTTTCTTTAGTGTTCTGTAGTTTTCCAAGTACAGGTCTTTTAGTTCCTTGGTTAAATTTATTCCTAGATACTTTATTTTTCTTCTTGCTATAGTAAATGGAATTTTTTTCTTAGTTTCTCTTTCTCATATTTCATTGTTGGTGTACAAAAATGCCATCAATTTCTGAGTACTGACTTTGTATCCCACTATTTTGCTAAATGCACTTATTAGGTTGAGTATTTTTTGGGCGGAAACTATAGGGCCTTTATGTACATTATCATGCCATCTGTGAATAATGACAGTTTTACTTCCTCCTTTCCAATTTGGATTCCTTTTATTTTTTTTTTTCTTGTCTGATCGCTGTGGCTAGAACTTCCAGACCTATATTGAATAAGAGTGGGGAAAACGGACACCCTTGTCTTGTTCCTGATCTTAAGGGAAAAGTTTTAGTTTTTGCCCATTACATATAATGTTAGCTGTAGGTTTCCCATATGTGGCCTTTATTATGTTGAGATATGCTCTCTCTATTCCCACTTTGCTAAGAGTTTTTATCATAAATGGGTACTGAATTTTATAAAATGCTTTTTCAGCATCTATTGATATGATCATGTGATTTTTGTTTAATTTTGTTTATGTGATGTATTACGTTTATTGATTTGCGAATATTGTTAACCATTGATAAACTGGGATGAATCCCACTTGATCATGGTGTATGATCTTTTTAATGTATTGCTGAATCTGGATTGCCAATATTTTGTTGAGGATTTTAGCATCTATGTTCATCAGAGATATTGGCCTTTAATTTTCTCTTTTTGTTTTTCCTTTACCTGGTTTTGGAATTTGGATGATACTCGCCTCATAAAAACAGTTTGGGAGTCTTCCCTTTTCTTGAATTTTTTGGAGTAGTTTGAGAAGGATAGGAGTTCTTAAATGTTTGGTAAAATTCACCTGTGAAGCCATCCAGTCCAGGACTTTTGTGTGCCAGGAGTTTTTTTATTACTACTTCAGTTTCACTAGTTGTGGTTGGTCGATTCAGGCTTTCTGCTTCTTGATTCAGTTTGGGAAGATTCTATGTTTCTAGAAATTTGTCCATTTCATGCAGGTTGCCCAATTTCTTGGCATATAGTTGTTCATAGTGATTTCTTACAATACTTTGTATTACTGTGGTATTGGTTTTGACTTCTCTTTTAATTTCTGATTTTATTTATTTGGGTCCTCTCTCTTTTTTTCTTGATGAGTCTGGATAAGGTTTATCAATTTTATCTTTTCAAAGATCCAGCTCTTGGATTTATTGATCCTTTGAATTGTTCTTTTAATCTCTGCGTCATTTAATTCTGCCCTGTTCTTGATTATTTCCTTCCTTCTCATTCTGGAATTTGTTTGTTGTTGCTCCTCTAGTTCTTGTAGATGTAGTGTTATGTTGTTCATTTGAGATTTTTCTATCTTCTTTAGGTTTTGGGTTCCTGTGTGTTCATTTTTGTTTGTTTCCCAATACTTTTTGACTTCTTTCTTAATCTCATTGTTCATCCATTCATTATTTAATAACATGTTATTCTGTGTCCACGTAATTTAGTGTTTTTGAATTTTTTCCTTGGGGTTGGTTTCTAGTTTCAATCCAATGTGATCTGCACACATGCTTGATATGATTTCAGTTTTCTTGAATTTGTAGAGACTTGTTTTGTGTCTTACTATGTGGTATATCTTTAAAAATATTCCATGTGCATTTGAAAAGAATGTATATTTTGCTTCTTTGGGGTAAAAAGTTATGTGTACATCAATTAAATCCATTTGCTCTAGAATGTCGTTCAGTGCTGCAATATCCTGGTTGATTGTTTGGTTGGAAGATTTATCCATTGTTGACAGTGCAGTGTTAAAATCCCCTATGATAACTGTGTTGTTGTCAATATCTTTCTTGAAGTACTCCAAGATTTTCTTCATATATTTAGGAGCTTCTATGTTGGGTGTATATGTGTTTACAAGGGTTTTTTCTTCCTGCTGGTCTACTCCCTTAAGTATTGTGTAGTGATTCTTTGTCCCTTTTTATGGCCTTTGTTTTGAATTCTATTTTGTCTGCTTTAAGTATTGCTACCCTGGCTTTCTTTTCATGTCTGTTTCCTTGAAATATTTTTTTCCAGCCCTTCACTTTCAACTTGAGTAGATCTTTTGTTCTGAGGTGGGTCTCTTGTAGACAGCATATACACAGGTCGTGTATTCTTATCCATTCAGCTACCCTACATCCTTTGATTGGAGCATTTAATCCATTTACATTTAAGTTTATTATTGATAGGTACTTATTCATTGCCATTTTTTTCTGTATGAGTGCCCCCCCACACCCACCCCAGTATTTCTTTTCCTTTTTATAGCAGTCCCTGTAACTTATCTTGCTGTGCTAGCTTGGTAGAAATGTATTCTTTTAGACTTCTTTTGTCTGGGAAGCTCTTTATTTCACCTTCCATTTTAAATGAGAGCCTGCTAGATACAGTAGTCTTGATTGTACGTCCTTGCTTTTCATTACCTGGAGTATATCATGCCAATCCTGTCTGGTTGTAGTGTTTCTGTTGAGAAATCAGCTGATGGCCTTATTGGAGCTCCCTTGTATGTTACTAGCTGTTTCTCCCTTGCTGCCTTTAGGAGTCTCTCTTTGTCTTTAAAACTTGCCATTTTAATTATGATGTGTCTTGGAGTGGACCTCTTTGGGTTCATTTTGATTGGGGCCCTCTGTGCTTCCTGAACATGCATGACTTTTTCCCTCACCAAGTTACGGAAGTTTTCTGTCATTATTTTTTCAAAGAGATTTTCTATCCTTTGTTTCTTTTCTTCTCCTCCTAATATTCCTATGATGTGAATGTTGTTACATTTCATGTTGTCCTGATGGTCCCTTAAACTGTCTTCTTTCTTTTTGAGTCCTTTTTTGTTTTGTTGTTCTGACTGGGTATTTCTTTCTACCTTGTATTCCAGCTCACTGATTCGTCCCTCTGCTTCATCTAGCCTGCTTTTAATTCCTTATAGTATATTTTTCATTTCAGATATTGTAGTCTTCATTTCTTTAAGAGACTGACTTAATTTATCAAGCTTAAATTCTTTCTAAAAACATTTTATTTATTAATTTTTAGAGAGAAAGGAAGGGGGAGGAAAAAAGGGAGAGAAACATCAATGTGAGAAACATCGATTAGTTGCCTCTCTTAAGCTCCCCGACTGGGGACTGAACCCGCAATCCAGGTCTGTGCTCTGACCTAGAATCAAACTGGTGAGATTTTGCTTTGCGGAACAATGACCAACCAACTAAGCCACACTGGTCAGGGCCAAGCTTAAATTCTATTATTTTAAAAGATTTTATTTATTTATTTTTAGATGGGGAAGGGAGGGAGAAAGAGAGGGAGAGAAACATCAATGTGTGTTTGTCTCTCACACACCCCCAACTGGCGACCTGGCCCGCAACCCAGGCATGTGCCTTTATTGGGAATTGAACCAGCAACCTTTTGGTTTGCAGGCCAGCACTCAATCCACTGAGCCACACCAGCCAGGGCTAAATTCTTGATTCAGTAATTCAACATTTTCACCTTCTGTCGAAAATGTGGAAAACTAACTTCCTCCCAAGTTTGCTTTTGTTGGCCCTCAAAAAATATATCAAAGTAACAGTAATCTCAGTTTAGTGGAAACATCTTGGGCCTTCGTTCTTCTGTAAATACATTTTGGGCTTTTCATACTTAGAGGGCTAAACAAATTTATAGGACAATAATCTTCTTTCTCAAAGAATCTTTATTTCTGGGTTGGGAGAAAGGATTGCATGTAAAGAAGAAACTGTACTGTTCTGGGTGACTGCACATGTAATTAAAGATGGACTTACCTCAGTTGAATAGGCTGTCTTTTGCCCCAAAGGGAGAGCTTTAAGTATATTTTAAAACTGAACACTTTGTTTCTATTTTTAAGTCTCCAGAAATGATTATTTAACACGGGAAACCAGCTTTTGGGAATGAATCTGATGTGCTCATATTTCAGCATTGCCGGCATTGTTTTCTTTGTGATATGAGATGATTTGGCTGTCCCTTAAGTTATCTTGTATTTTTGTTCACTTCTGCTGTTGTTTAAGGAGGCTTTACCTTTCTAACACACTTGTGACTCCAAATAATTCATATATCCTAGTTTGAGAAATTGTTGGGGAGGAAGCCTGATTAGGAAATAGAGATTGGTTGGCTGCTGATCAAGTGAAAATTTAATTTAAGCTATCATTTGGGTTATTGGCATGATGGAGCAACCAGTGAGTTACTGCTTATTTTTTGGTTTTGGCTTCTTTTCTAATGGTTGTACAGATAGAGAGATGGCCTGGCATCTAGACTGAACTAACAGTAGAGCTGTATGTATGTAATAGCTGCTGATTTTCTGTTGGTATGAGGTGGACTTTGTATGTCTACCTGCATCCTTCTGAAGGAAAAAAGCAAATTACTACTTGGTTTATGTTCCAGAAAGTACTAAGACTATTCTGCAGGTATATAGCACTTACATAACATTTATGCTTTTCAAAGATATTTCCTATTGTCATTTCATGCTTACAACATGAAAATGACATGTTGTAACCTTGTAAATAAGATATGGCAGGTATAATTCCCAATCGATAGAGGGGTGCTAAGACATAAGTAAGAAGCTGGGTTAAAGTCGCTGGCTCAACAAATAAATGACTGGGACATCTTACTGTGTTTTATTTTTGAATTGTAATTTTCAGAAAATTTTATAGGAGGAAAGAACTGAACATGCCTCTTTATGTGGTTACTTTTCAGCGCCGTCTCAGACATCTTCGGAACATTGCTGCCCGAAATATTGTTAATAGAAATGGCCATCAACTCCTTGATACCTACTTCACTCTCCACCTGTGTAATACTGAAAAGATACATAAAGGTAAGGGATTCTGTGAACTTGCTATCCACAGATCGTTACATCTCATTTTTATTCTTTTGTAACCTAAATGTCTCTTGATATTATTGTTTACTGAAAAGCTAAATTGTCATGCTGTGACAATATTTCATGAGCAGTTATATATATTAAAGAAACATGATATTTGGATAGTTCTTTCAGCTAACTGAATCTTATATTGATAAGTTTATTATTCCTTTATGAATGTAAAAGCTGTTATGCCTTTTTTCCAGTAGCTATTATTTAAAATAAATTATATGAGTCTAGTATCCAGTACTAATTTGCTTTTCTCTAAAATGTAATTGATTTCTTTAATATTATGAAAAAATTGGGTCCCAGTTCATATCTTCCCATATCTATAATTCCTTGTGTATATGGAGTCATTATTTAGAAGAATTGGCATGGTTTCTTTGAATTGTTTTATGTATTAAAATGTTGACTCTTCCATAAGTGACAGTTCTAAGAGTAGGCCAAATATTTGATTCAAAATAACAAGCATCTTTTGAATACATGTTGGATGAAAGGCACTTTGATATAGTCAGTTGACTTTATGTCAGGTGGTGCAATGATAGGAACATTGGATTAGGATTGAAAGTATCCATACTAGTTGTAGCTCAGCTGTTTACTAATTGTGTGACTTTGGACAAAGGTCATGGCTTTTGAACCTCATTTTTCCCATTTGTAAAGTGGAGATAATGAGTCTTATGAAGCTTGCAAGATAAGTTTTTATGAGGCTCAACTGAGATAAGGTGGTAACACTTGGCACAATGTTACTAAGGTCTTATATTAACAAAAGGTGGCATTTTGTATTTTATTAAAGTTACTAAGTACTTTGAATTTCCTGTGGCAAAGATGAAATATTTGAATGACATTATCTTTTGGTTTTAAGTACTTAAAAAAAACATTATTAAAGCAGTAGTTGTTTTAATAACTTTTTTTAACCTTAATACCAGTATATGGTCATTAAAAATTCAATCAGGAATTATATAGAGCAGAACCTCCCCCATTGTAAATAACATTAAAATAATTCTTAAGGATCAAAAAGGACTCTAAAATCTGCCATTTTTTCATATAATTTTATTTCATTCTTATTTTTTATTCTGACCATTGCACATTTTTAAAACAATTACTGTAACCTGAATGATCAGTGCTAGCTACTATAGCAAATACCACTGATCTTACCGGCCTAATATAATACATTTTTCACACTGAGTCTGGTGCAGGTGTTCTTTGTTGGGTGCTGTCCCAGCAGCCCTTCGCTGAGTGGCAGTGACTCAGGTGTCGGGCCCCTTCTATTTTGGAATGCTGCTGCCGTCAACATGTGACCTCTGGCTTGGCAAGAAAGGGATCAGTTGAGGGAGATTAAAATCTTAAATGGAAATGGCCCAGCTCAATTCCATCACATTCTGTTGGCCATAAATCTGCGTCATTCTTTTTAGATGAAAAGGGGCCTTGGAAATGTCGTACTGTGTGTCAGAAAGAAAATAAACAGTTTGGTTGTTTTTTGTCCTGAAGGTATAAGCATTTTGGCAGATCTTAATAATAATTTCATCTACTTCTCACTGATTGCTTTTGTCATTAGCAATGGATGACAGTGCCAGAGTGTTTTAAATTTTTGACATGTTTCTGTAGAACCAGTTCTTGGTTATCTTCATAGAACTTCTATGTCCTTGCGTAATTATCTCTGATAATAGTAATTAACATAGTACTTACCACATCTTAGGCATTTGGTAAGTGATAGCAATTGTTATTAGAATTGTGATGTTAACAATCATAGGAGTAGTTTCTAAAAAGGGAGGAGTCATGGGGCTGGTTGGTGACCATGATGTAAAAACTTGTCTAAGAGATATGAAGAAAGTGATTTTTTTCTTCTTGTTTTTGTATTTTGTCTTCTAGCTCAAATTACATTGTGAGCTTAGAAGTTATCATGGGCTGTTTGTTGAGGTTATCTCAATAAAATGATTCTTAGCACAGTTAGGGAATAGCTGGTGACAGACCACAAGGAAGTCCAGTGTCTGGTGATGGTTTTGAGTCTATCACTAACAGGCAAGCCCTGTGGCTAGGGCATTTAGTTAATTTATCTCTCAAATGGGAGGACTGATGATTTCTGAGACTTCCTTCTGCCCCAGGCTGTCATGGATGAATGAAGTTTAGTCATGGTGGTTTTGTTGGACCCGTAACTTGGGTTCTGTAACTATTATCTACCACAGGAGGAATCAGGAAGCTCTTTCCTTACTGAACCTAGCTAGTACTGTATCTTACTGGATCTGTGATGACGGGCACAGGCTTAATTGTTCATTTCATGATTATTATGTGGCTCTTGGTATAGGATGACCTTTACAGAAAGCCAGTTGGCTCTTCTCACAAAACCATATGTACCACCTGTTTAGTGGCATCATTTGTTAATTTTATAAGAAAGTTTTTTTAATTGGAAGAATATCTTAAATGCTGATTTTAAGTTACTGTTTTATTTCAGCTGAATTCACAGCAGATCCTAAGAAGTTATGTATGGGATTAAATAAAAATGACATCTTTTAGCACTTTTAGGAGGCCGTTTACCTTTTAGGTAGTTCAATTCCAACACTAGTTATCACATCTCTAGAGCATGAAGTCTTGTGTTACGTGTGAGGAGCTAGGTTTTAATCCTGGTTTCCTCTTAAACTTGGAATTTTTATAAAGTTGGTGTTGTTCTTAAGCCATCATTATTTTTCTCACCATGAAGTATGAGTTTCTGGCCTCTCCTGGATGCCAACGAGCTGTTTTGAATGTATCCGAAGACAAACTCTATATAATCCAATTTGGTGATCCCATTCGAGTCTCTTAGTTTTAAATACCAGTGATCACTAACAACTTGCAAGTTCTTATTCTTAGCTTGGACCTCCCCCCTGAACTCATACGCCTATTTTCAGTTGTCTATTCTACATCTCTGTTTGGAGTCTAGTAGGTAGCTTAAACTGAGTTTTTGGTGTTCCAGTTCCAAACCACCTCCTGTATTGTTTCTTCTCTCATTCTTTTATTTCCTTGGTGAAAAACCTTGGAATCATCCTCGGTTGTCCTCTTTTATATCCCGCATCCAGTCTTGCAGCAAATACTTTTGGCTCTTACTATCATAATATATCCATAATCTGATTACCCTTTACTATCTTCAAACCACTATCATCTCTTGCCTGAATTGTTGAAGTAGACTTCTACAAGTTTGCCTACTCATGCACCCTCTTCAGTATGTTCCCAACTGAGAGCTCATGAAAATGAAAGTGAAATAATGATATTCCTCTCCTAAAGCCCTCCACTGACTTCCTGTCTTACTCAGTAAAAGCCAAATCCTTCTCGTTTTTTAGAAGGCCTTTTGTGATCCGACCCTCTGTTACTGCTTGGACCTTATCTCCTTCTACTCTTCTGTTTCTGTTCCAGCCACACTGACCTTCTTTCCTTCTTGATATTCCTTGAATATATCAAATTTCCTTCTGTTTAACTATGTACTTGCTGTGTCTTTGGCCTGGGCACACTTTCCTCCTGATATTTACATGACAGTTTCCTCCACTGCCTTTCTGGTCTTTATTCTGAAAGTTTCCTCAGAGAAACTCTCCTGACCACTGACTAAACCCTTTTAAAAATTGTGACTATTCTCTCCCTGTCATTTGTGCTTTATTTTTCTCCATAATACTTCATATTATTTGACATACTATATGTTTAATTATTTGATTAATGTATATCTCTCTCCACTAGAATGTAAACTCCATGAGGGCAGAAGTTTTTAGGTCACTTTGGTTCTCGCTGTACTCTCGCTAGTTCTTGGAAGCATGCTTGCCACATACTAAGTTCATATATGTATGTATTTTTTTCTAAACTTTTGAATAGCTAATGGAATTCATGGTTCAGAGTATATGATGCGCACTTCATGGCGCTCTTGTGTGTGTGTGTGTGTGTGTGTGTGTGTGTACACATAAAGGTTTGTATTAAAGCCTTCCTTTCACCTGTTCTATCTTCCTAGTTTTCTACCCCATCCTTCTAACCACTTTTATTCATTTCTTGTTTATCATTCCTGAGATTCTTTATACAAATACAAGTAAAATCATTACCAAACTATATATATTTCTGTGCTATATATACATATTTCAAATTATGTATATAATTTCAAATATACATATATATTTGAAATGTTCACTTAATGTCTTAAATGTTTTCTCATATTTAAAATGTTTTTCCATGTCCTAAATGTTTTTTCATATTGGTTTATAGAGAGCTTCCCTAATTTTCTGCAATGTTTTGCATTGAATAGATGTACCTTTAATTATTTAACTGTCTCCTTTTGGTAGACATTTATAGGTGGTTCCAGTCTTTTGCTATACACACAGTACTGTATTGAATAACTTTATAAGCACATTATTTTTGTATATTCTAAGAAGTAGAAGTATAAAGAAAGTGTATACTTACATTTTGGTAAATATTAGAAAATCGTCCTCATTTACATTCCCACGTGTCATGTCTTTTCCTCCAGAGCCTCACCAACAGACTGCGCAAACTTTAGAACATTTGCCAATCTGATAGGTGAAAAATAGTTTTCTAGTATAGTTTAAGATTGTATTTCCTCTGTTAAGAGTCAGGTTGTGGTACTAAAAAGGCATGCGTTGAGTGAATGGAGCGCTGCCTGACGCCCACGCGTGCCTGGGGAGCCGGGTCCTGCAGTCTCCGGCTGCTGGCTTCTTAGGCCTCGGCATGGGCAGAAAAGTGTTTGTATCTAATGGTTTCCTTTCACGTCGAAATACGTCTTGGATGATAATCTTTTTTGCTCAAATTAAATTGATAAAAATTAGTATAATTTATTAATAAAAATAATTAAAAATTCACTATTTCCTTTGAGCCTCACAACAACTCTTATTTTTCAGGTGTCATTGTCCTCTGAAAGGTAAAGAAACTGGCCCCAAAGGGTTGACTTATCCGGGGTCAGGCTTATGTGTGGTAGATTTGGGACTGGAACTGTTCTTTGACTCTAAATACACTGTTCTGTTTCTCACTATGCTGCTCATTTTATTGACAGTGTTTTGATGTAACAGAATGATAGTGTAAGCCCACATTTAGCATGTTAGACTACTTCAGACTCGGTGATTTGTTTCCAAATTGTGTGACTTTTGTTGACCTCTCTGCATTTAAATTAGCCATTTAGCAAGTCCATTTTGAGAGTCTCATGGAGAAGGTAAATTATTTAGTTTCATTTATGGGCACCGTCAGTTAGCAAAATTTTGAAAGAAATAATGATACTATTAATTTTCCAAGAGCTGGAGATATTATTTTAGGAACTGTTTAACAGTTTAACCACAGATTAAGTTGGGGAATTCTCTCAAAGGAAAAAGAGTATCTTTATTTTTTTCCCACTGATTTTAAAAGTAATACATACTGTAACAAATTCAAATAATACAAAAATGTAAATGTATAAAGTAAAAATACTCTGTTATTAAAAAAACACCTTTTTAGTTCTTTTAGTCCTTTTTTCTAAAAATGTGTATGGTGTGTATAAATTAGAATATATATGTATACACAAATACATAACATACATACATCTCTAGTTAATTCATGATTGGAATAATCATGGAATAACCTATTGGAATAATAGGTTAGCCATTTGGGGAAAAAATGAAAAGAATAATACTTTTGGTTGCCCAGTGTTGTGGAAACAGGTATTTTCATAAGTGTGATTGTAAAATGGTACAATATTTTTAGAGAATAATTTGGCAATGTTTATCAAATTTCTGTTTTTCTTTTTGTCTTGCAGTTTTACTTCTAAAAGTTCATCCTATAGACTTAAATGTCTTAGCATATATATCTTTAAAAGATTGTTTATAACATTACTTGAAATATCTAAAATATCGCAGTAACCTAAATGTTCATCAGTAGAGGATTCTTTATTTTTTCACCCTCACCTGAGGATATATTTATTGATTTTAGAGAGAGAAGAAGGAGGGGGGAGAGAGAGAGAGACAGAGAAAGACAGAGACAAACATTGATGTAAAAGAGATGCATTGATTGGTGGCCTCCTGTGCATGCCCTGACCAGGGATTGAACCACAGCCTAGGTATGTGCCATTTCCGGGAGTTGAACCCACAGCCTTTTGGTGCATGGGATGATGCTCTGACCAACTGAGCCACCGGGTCAGGGCAGTAGGAGATTCTTTTTAATACCAATTAGAATGATCCCTTTCCTTATTTCAAATAATTGTCCAAGATAGAAAAATTAGAAAACTTCCAAACAAAAACTAAAAGTAAGCAATTTAAATCATACCATCTAAGATAAACATTGTTAATATAAAAATTTGGTTCCTGTTGTGAGTTCTTAGAACCTGTTGGTTTTCTTTTTTCACTTAATATATTGTGACTGCCTCTCCACAAAATAGAATTATCCTATCTTTTCTGTTTTTGAAGGAAAACAGGCATAGAGTAATGCAAATGATACATTTGTCAGGAAGTGCTTTAACTGAACGAGGTCACCTGTAAGAGTGTTATGTCCATGTCTGCTTTTTATTTGCTACGTTACTATTCCCGAGCCTCAGTCATTAGTAGACCACCTTGACAAGTTTCACCACATTTGAGTTTTACCTATGCTGTTGCATGCTTAATATGTTTTTAAAAGTTCATTATTTTTAAACTTATGTCTAAGAGTAATGTGTGAAATTGTTGATTAAAAAAAAAATGTTGTCTGCCCTGTGCCAGGAATGATTTTTTGTGCTTAGGAGACAGCAACTGTATAAAACAAACATTGCTCCTTTATGGAACTTAACAATGAGGGACTTAATATATGAGTCATAAGTTTCAGTATATTAGAAAAAAAGAGCTTCTCCATGTCTCATGTAAAATCATCCAAGTACCAGTGGTATGTGCATCACACCCTATAGCACCCTAAGGATACAAGGGTCCTTGTAAGCTCTGCAGAGACAGAGCATCATGGAGGTGACTTTGGCAGGGTCAACAGGGAACGTTGGAGGGTGGCCAGAAATGACTGCCTGAACCTCTGTCACATTTCTCTCTTTTGATTGTGTCTTCTGGTTTTGTAACTTTTACAGCATACTTGAAGGTTGGTAGAATCATGAAATTTTAATGCTTACAGAGGACCTTTGGTTATTAGTCTAATTCTCTAAGTTGTCTAATGAAAAATGGGCCCAAAGAAATTAAAGGGACAGAATATTAATGATAGATGGAACTAGATGTTAGGTTATTTGGTTGCTAGATCAGTATTCATTCCACAATACTACAATGCATGGTCATAAGAGACATTTGAGAAAAACAGAGCATATGGAATCAGTTGTAGAGAGTGGCAGCAGGTAGGGGAGAAGAAAGTCTTAGTGTTACGGACTGAAATTTGAATCTAGGGTAAAAGGAGCTAGTAGAGTAAAAATCACTAACTTAACTCTTAATAGGTTTTGACTTTTCTTTACTGATGTTTTTCCCTTGAAAACACTTTTATTTAATCTTTATTTCTATTTTATTTTATTTTTTACAGATAAAGATATAGAGAGGATCAATACCTTGAAAATGTTTTAAGTGTTTTACTGAAACATATGTTAAACAGTTTACCAGACTAAGAGTTAACGAGCTTATTTTCTTCCATATCACTTATTGTTTTTTTTCTTTTTTTCCAGAATTTTATAGAAGTGAAGTGATTAAGAATTCCTTGGTAAGTTTGACTTCTGACAGGTACATATATCCAAGCCTATAACTTCTGTTTCAGAAAATCCTGAGACATAAAACAAGGTCAAGTTCAGTTCTGGTATTTTGATCCTTCTACAGTTAAATCTTCTGATTAATTACTGCTTAAATCTTCATCAATTTGTTCATTGCTATATCTCTAGTGATTAGAACATGCCTGGCACATAGTAGGTACTTGAAAAATATTTGCTAAATGAACTTTAAAAACAACTGGTGTTTTTTCAGCTCAAATTTTATAATTCTATCACTTCTATTTACTATAGAGATTTTTGACTTACCAAACATTGAAATAAATGAAATCTTCATTTAGATATAGTTCTTAAAAATTTTATGTTTAGGGCCATTGTATAGGACCCTCCCACTTGTTTTTGGCAATGACATTGCACAGTTAGAAATTTGGAAGTGTCCTACTTTTGATACTCTGTTCACTTGATATTTGCATAAATGGCTCAATTTATTGGGCCATGTTGATAAAAAGAAGAGCTTTATGGTAATGATAATATCCCTTTAATGGTCCAAGACCATACTGGATTTGCCTACTCTCCACATTTTTAAATCTCATCTCCTAATACTTTTTCTCACTCATTATATTCTGGGCATACCTCACTTTTTTAGTGCTTTGAACATACCAAGCTTATCTTGTTCCTTATGCTCTACCAGAACAACTTGTTTTTCCAGCTGTTCATTTGGCAGAATTCTTTGAGGTCTCAGCTATGTCGCTTCAGCTAGACCTTCTATGACTTTTCCATCTAAAGTAGTTCTCTTTCTCCTACTCACTGTTTTTCTTGTTACCTGTTTTATTTTCTTTAGAGCATCCATTACTATTGGAAACTTATTCACTGATTTGTTTGTGTTTGTTTATCACCTGTCTCCCATACACCAGAACATTAAGTCCCATAAGAGCAGGGACCTTGCCAGATTTGTTTACCTCTGAAATCCTGCAGTGTAGCATAGTGCAGATGCTCAGTGAGTATTTGTCAGATGAATAAATGGATGTCAGTGATGTATTATATTTGCAGAATCCTTTTACCTATGTTACACCATTTTGACACTTAGAAAAACATGTAAGGTAGATAGGGTAGGTGTTAAGAAACTGACATATGGAAAGGCCCAACAGCTTTCACAGTTACACAACTGCAAGACCAGAACCTCAGTTCCCAGGCCTTCTGGCTTAAAGTTTCTACTGCTCTTTCCTTTTCATTAAGCTGTCTTCCATATATCTCAAATATTATAATAGATTTGGATCTTAGGTCAAACAGCTTCCTTAAGCCCATCTCTGAGAAACTCCAATCATCAGTAAACCTGTTCATACATTACATGATTCATGAGAAGTAACTAGCACCATGCCTGACACATAGTGGCTACTGAGTAAATACTAATTTTTCTTTTTCTTCTGGTTCAGGTGGAAATAGAAATGGCCCACAGACAAGTGAGAGCAGGGGAAGGGAGCAGAAAGAGTAGATGTCACTTTGATTTATCTACTCTCCTTTCTCTAGCCAAAAACTCCATTTGGAGATGGTTTTACATCTCTGCGTTTTCTCTGGATTTGTATTATAGTGGACCCTATGATGCAGTGGTACCCTAGTGTATTATTCCGCATTATTAGTATTGTATTTACTTGATATTCAATTGACTTCCTAATCCATATGTCTAAACATCATCTCTGAATGTTCACTGCTATCTTCAGCTCCTTTTGACTCCTATCTACAATCGCTTGTGACCTTTCTATGAATTGTGACATCTTCATCCCTTGTGTACTTAGGCTGAATAATGTTTTGTAAAATGGTCCAGACAAAGGAGAGGGTTGGACAAAAAGACTTCCAAGATCCTTTCAACTTACAGTTTGTACTGCGATTGTTTCCTAGGCACACCACTTAACAACAACATTTGCTTGCATTGTACCTGTTCATGAGCATTTCATCTTGTGCAGTAGAGGAAGTTGGAGACTGCCTGGATATCTTTATGTCTCCCTAGTGCCCACTGTATTCTGTTGGGTAGTTTGTTAAATGTTGGTTCATTGATACTTCCTTTTAGGGATATTCTTTAAGATTATGACATTTTTGGCAAGGATTGTTGTACTTTTAATATAGGTTTGATAAACTTCAATTCACTTCTTTTCTTTTTGAAAGGAGTCTTCTTAGCTTTCTGCTAAATCATTGTGGCTGGTTCCGATTAATGGGCACTGAACGTCAGAGGCATCAGTGATCCTCAGAGAATGTGCTGGGGATGTCACAGTGTCACCTCCTCTCTTGCTGTCTCTGAAGAACCACAGATGGGCAGAATTGGTTGATTTTTTTTTTTCTGCGTAGGAGTTTAATTCTTAAACTAGTTTGCTATATGCTGAATAGAATTAACGATTTAAATGCTTTTATTCCTCCTGGTTACCATTGTGCTTGACATATAGAAGGTGCTCAGCAAATGTTTCTTAATCAGTGGATTTGTCCACAAATATATTTATTGACTGACTTCTAATTAGCTTCTAAAGCATTAAGCAAAGTAATACTTTATTTTGCTAAGCTTTCAGTAAATTTTCACTTGGGTGAACTAAGATGGGCTCTGAGCTTGTGAATAAACTTTTTTACTCACATAACTTAAGGATTTGACTGTTTTTTCTATGGGTTTGTATTGTGAGCTTGGTCCTTAGACTGGGGCCTGGTTTTGCCATCCTTTCTTTAATTTTTTTGAAATAATAGTCTTAAAATTTTATTTATTTATTTAATTATAGAGAGAGCGGAAAGGAGGGAGAAAGAGAGGGAGAGAAACATTGGTATGCAAGAGATATATCAGAGATGTATTAATTGGCTGCCTCTCACATGTCCCCAACTGGGCTCCTGGCCTTCAACCCAGGCATGTGCCCTGACCGGGATTCGGACCAGCGACCTTTCATTTCACAGGGCATCTGTCAATCCCCTGAGCCATACCAGCCAGGATGGTTTTTTTAAAAAAAAATTATTATCTTATACCGTTCTATCACCATTTGTCCCCCTGCTCCCCCAGTATCCCCTCCCGCCCCTTGCCCCCTAGTTTGCCATTCTGATGTCAAAGACAACATGGGAAAATGGACACAAGATTAAAAAGAGCGTTTTCCCTAAAGGTTAGGTAAACTGTCCTCATGTGCCTATCCTATGCCGCTGACTCCTGAGCACTCCAAACTAGTGCTGCCCAGTCAGCTTTGTGTGATGGTGGCAGTGTCCTGTGCACTGTCCAGTACAGCCCACCACTGGCTACGTGTGGCTACTGAGCACTTGAAATGTGGTTACGTGTTACTGAGGAACTGAATTTTTAGTTTTACTTAATTTTACTTTAAATAGCCACAGTGGCTAATGGATGTAATATTGGACAGCACAGTTCTAAATGATTCTGAAAAGCTTTCTTACAATGTGTCATATAGCAGGAAGACATTTCTTTCTTTGTGTGTGCTTTTAAAAAGTATTCACTTTGTACTCTACTGCTGGTACCATTCTAAATCATTGTCATTAGCTGTTCACAGGGTGCTGGAGGTCCTTGAATACGCAGGATAAACCTCATGAAGGCAGGGACTTCGTGTGCTTCAACTTTGTATCCTCCATGGGCATTATATTTATTTAGCAGTTTTTCCTTCCTTGAGGTTCATTGCTTGACCTGTGTGTGATAGGGAGTCTTTTGGGTGTATTTCAGTGATAAAGTATAAAACGACTTCCTTAATTTGTGGGAATTCTCTTAAATCCTATAAAGAAGATGAATGAGGTTATTTCTATATTGACAGATATTTGCTTCTCTAATACCGAATTGATGCCTTGTTGCTTTATTTCTTTGCCTTTCTGCTTACATAAAAACATAACACTTTTTGTTGAATTTTAACATACATGAGAGTTAACAGATCTTGAGTGTACATCTTGGTCACTTTTTTCAAATTGAATACACCCATGTAACTAATGTCTACATCAAGAAATAGATTTTCAGTGCCCTAGAAGCCCCCTCCTGCTCTCTTCAGTTTCTACTACTCTCTTGACTTTTAACATCATAAATTAATTTTACCTGTTTTTGAGCTTTATGGAAATGAAATCATACAGTATGCAGTCTTTTGAGTCTGACTTCTGTGTCTTAACTTTATATTTTAAGAGTCACCATTATTACTGTTAGGGTGTATTTGTAGTTAGTTTGTTCTGTTGTATTGCGTTCTGTGAATATACCAGAATGTGTGCAGTCTTCTCTTGATGGTTAGAATCTAGTTTTGAGCTAAGATGAGTGGTTTTGCTATGAACTTTCATCTATCTATTTATCTATCTATCTCTATTGGTCAAAAGTATGAATGCCTTTCTTCTGGGTACATATCTAGGAGTAGACTTGGCTGGGAATATGCATGGGGTCAGCTTTAGTACACATTTTCAAATAGTTTTCCAAAATTATTGTTTTATTTACACTCTCATCAGCAGTCTGTGAGCTGTTCTGGTTACTTCACATTCTTGTGAACACTTGTTATTTCTTTAATATTGAATTTAAATTTTTGATAGATATTATACACAGGACTTCTTTTGTTTAAATTGAAATCAATGAAGGTATTTTAAATGGCAATTAAACTCAGCACACGTAGTGCCAACACTGTGCCTAACTTGGAAGAGTTGATATTAAAAGCTGCTTTTAAGGTTGTGCACGTAGAGACATCTGATGACTGCCACCTGGTGGTCAAATATTGCAGGACTGTATTGATTTTAACATTTCTAAAATTGGAATTCATCTTACAATGTGAAGGAAAGTATCAGTGTTAGAATTGATAAATTGGAATATGCTAAATGGTAAAAAATATAGTGGAGTAAAATAAAGTAGCAAAAGGGAGCACCTGTCAGGGTTGCCTGTTTTTCTAGGGTAATCGTATAGAGGATAAGCTTTTGAGCAGACACCTGAAGGCTGTTCCAGGCCAAGAGACAGGCAGGTACAAAGGCAGGAATGTCCTTGAGGTTCTCAAGAAATGGCTAAGAAGTTAGCATGGCTGAAGTGGCGTGAGCAGGCATGGTTTTGCCAGGCAAGTATGACAAAGTTGACGGGGGGCAAGTGAACTGAGGACCAGGACAGCAGATGAAGTGCCCTGGAGAGACTGGATATGATAGTGAAAGGCTGGATGGCATAAGAATAAGATTTTGGAAGGGATACAGTTCCAGGTCACACAGAATTAGGAGCATCTGGTGGGCAGGGACCCCCAACTTATTCATTTGTCTGTTTTCTAATGTCCCAGCACAGCGCTTCACCCAGACAAGGCCAACAAACGTTTGCTGCATTGAGTAACAAGAGTAATTCACCCGTGATAAGTTAGATGGTGGAGATGTGTCTGCAAGTTATACATCAAAGTGATGGTTTCTTCTAAGATATATTTAGCATAAAATAATTACTAATGAATTATTCAGTTTTACTGTCTCTGGCTTCAGCTAGCCATGCCCTCCAAACTATTTGTTAACTCTTGGGAACATTTTTATTTTTGGTTCAGGAGGAGGTTATATCCTTAGCATGATTGAAGGATCATTGGTAATAACTAAAATGATTGAAGCCGTAAGAATGGAAGAAATTGAATTCTCTAAAGTGGATTTTGTACATACACAAAAGACAAATTAGAATAAACCCATTTGTATCCATCGTTAACAATTATAAAGTTAATTATTAGATTTTTTTTAAGCGGAATTTTAAAACTTTTATTAAAAAATAAAAAAATCTCATGGTGGGAGTAAGAATAGTGATAGATAATTCATGTGTGCTTTTTAATACTTTAATAAAAAGTACTAATTAAAAAGTGTGTACCTGTAATTCAAGTATGGTGTTGACTGCAGTATATATATTGTTTCTTATACTGATCACAATGCTATAAGGTGAGAGATATGCTTGTTTTATAAAGGAATCTGAGGTTCAGGCTGAGGAACTTGCTCTAGGCTGAAAAGCTAGTGGTGACTCATAAAACTTACTTTCCAGAGCCCTGCTCTTTTGCAGCATCTTGCTGCTTCTCTGTGTTATACTTCCTTCATCCGATTAAATGTCTCCTAGAGTTAGATCTAGTAGAGGCCAGTGATGGGCCATAAAATTGAATAAACAAAGTTTTAGAGCATGTATCTTTTTTTTTTAAGGAAAAGCATGTGATGTAATTATCAGGACTGTAAACTTATGTTGGGATTGTGACTGCCTGAGCTCTTTTTAAATCTTTGGGAAAAAGCTGATGTGAACAGTACAAATAGTCATTTTTGAGATACTGGCCTGAGTGAACTCTCATTCAGCTGCGACTGAATGAACTTATATTTTATCCTTGTGGGTGTGTCTGTGATAGGGAGTTGGCTCCTCTGGGTTAGGCCAAGCTGTGTTGCTCTGTGCTGTATAGCATTGTCTCTAGGGTTTTCCAGCTTCCTCCCGGGCAACTACATGATTTGGAGGGAGCCTAAGATAAGTGACACATGCAGTTATTTTACCAGGGAACAAGAGGATCCTATGAAAACATGTAGGAGTATTTTATTATCTCAATTTGGGACAGGGTGGTTACTAAAGTTTTCAACCAATAAGTGGTTCCTAAGTTGACACATGAAATATGATTAGAGGTGAATGAGATGGGGGAAAGAGTTTATTGGGCTGAGGAATAAATACTACTTAACAAATTCAGTATGCAATTCCTGAGATAGTTAGCAATCTTGTATGTTTTTAGAAAGTTTGAACAACTTTTATGAATTCTTAGCTGTGTTTCTTGTGACCACACATGTGTTATTAAGAACTGTGATAGCTAGTTTGTGTATTTTGAAAATTTTCTATTTTTGTGTATTTCTTCAATTAAATAGGTATGAATTGAGCAGTTACTGATCAGTGTTATAGAGAAATTGTCCTGGTAATGAATAATAATTTTATATTTTCTGTGGGTAGTTAATGTTCAGTGAATTTTTAAAAGATATCCATATCTTGACATTCTGCCACTGTGAATTAGTGAATATGGTGTAGGTCCCTAAATGATGTTAGTACTTGAATAATTTGTTTTATCTAGAAAATGGGCCAGTGTGTTTAGGTAAATATAAATAAAAATCATTTTATGGGTCTTTTACAATAACAGTATTGAGCAATGAAGTCTTTGAATATGTGGCAAACTGTCTGCTTTGTATCTGAATGCACCAACTTGGGAATTATTGCTCATTGCCTGGCAGCTATTTTATAAAAGTATAAAGGAAGGCCACTGTAAGAACATTGACAGTAGCTTTACTATAATAATGTTGTATTGGCTTAGAAAGGAAACCCCAGACTTCTATTTAGCCACATGAAATAACTTCAAAAGACTACTCTTCCCTCCAAAGGTTTTTAATTTATTTTAGAATGAAGTATTTAAGAATATTTAATACAACAACTACCTCCAAAATCTTATCCCTCATGTAATACAACTCTCTCATATTCACCAAGTCTTTACTTTTTTTTGACTTTGGAAAGTAGTGGTTATTTCATGCTTTTTCTGGAGCTTATCATTGACAGATTTTGAAGTAACTTTATATTCTAGAGTACACGTACTTTTGTTCAGAGGTGATTTTACACGTAGGCCAGTAAATGGCTGCCTTTTCAGGTGGTATAATTTAAAGGCCAGGAAAGCCCTCCAACTCCTGCTATCTAGGCTTTAGGGCCTAAAATTACACCATGAACAGATACCTTCACTTAATTTGTAAGATGCTGTGTATTTCCCATTACTGGGTCTTTTAAAAATTACTTTTATTACTTTTTGTTGAGATATAGCACTTTAAAGGGCAGAAATAATAGTCTGATGACTTTTCGAAGAGATCAGTGTAACCAGATTAGGAAATGGAACATCAGCACCTCGTGTGTTTTCCCTCTAGTTACTACCTATTCCAAAAGAGAACTCTTATCCTGACTTGTAGCACCATAGATTAGCTCTGCTAGTTTTTGAACTAGCAGCTTTTGAAAATATAGCATATATTCTTTTGCCTAATATAGTCTTTGTGGGATTCATCCATGTTGTTGCATGTACTAGTTCATTACCCTTAAAACCTTTCAACGGCCCCAAATCTTTCACACAGTGAAGGACTGCTTCTCTGGCAAGGCATTAAATATCTTTCAGTTTAGTCCTGTTTCTGTCTCCAGCTTTGTGTCCTGTCACTCTTGTGTTGTGTGCGCCAGCAAACGGGAGTTTGAATCCAATAGGTTAGAGGTACTTTGAGGGCATTGTTTATGTGTCGGTTCTTAATAATTGTATCTTGATTATTGAATAAATAAATGGTATGATTAAGAATATGTGCTCCTTTTAATGACTATAATAAATAAGAAGAGAAATTTTAATATACCATTATCACCCCTTTTGTGTTAATTAGAATGTCTTCTTGGTTGACTGAAGTTTGCAATTTAATATATTCATGAGGTCTTTGGTTTTTAAAAACAAAATTATCTACAATCTAATTGAAATAACTGTAAACAAGTTAGAGTCTTCCTAAAGCGTGTTTTCATTTCCATCCACAGAATCCAACGTGGCGGAGTCTTGATTTTGGAATAATGCCGGACCGTCTTGATACATCTGTGTCTTGTTTCGTGGTGAAGATATGGGGTGGAAAGGAGGACGTCTACCAGCTGTTGATTGAATGGAAAGTTTGCTTGGATGGGCTGAAATACTTGGGACAGCAGGTAATTTTGAGGCTGCTGTTTCAAATAGTTGTCTTCTCTATGTTAACCTCTTCTTCTGATTCCACATTTTATGATTGCTTACTTAATTATGGAAATTTGAACCACGTATAAAAAAACTTTAGTTGAATAAACTTATGAGGAAGGACCCTAATCTGCTGATCTAAGAGAGATTTTCTTTTCGTAGGAAAGAATATGCTTTGTCATCCGCACCTCCCCACCCTCGCCCCGAATCTGAAAATTAAGTTGAAAATAAGGAACAAGGAACATACTATTAAACACCTTCTCTTATGACCAGTAACACTGGGTTGTTCTAAGAATAAGAAGAGCTACTTATTGTTTTCTGGGCACAGAGATGACAAATGCCTGGCTTATAAACTATTACCCCTCCCCCACGAGTGATGTAGCTAGGTTACAGTAGCACTCTAGCTGAACTCAGAAGTAATAGTCCTTTCTAACACAGTGTTCCAGGAGTCAGCTAGCAACATATTAGAACTGTGTATGAAATGAAATCTATTTGCCATCCCAAGACATGGCTTACGAAGATTAACGTTAACAGCAATCTTGTGAAGGTTGATAGTAACTGCTCTTATTTCCCAGATGGGAAAATTGATCCTCAGGGAATTTAAGAAACTGCTCAAGGTCACACAGCTAGCTGGAGCTGAGATTTAAATCTAGACCTGGCTGATACATACATGTAGTTCTTGGTAGCCCACCTACTTTACCTGGGAATGAATGCCATTTCTCTTTTGTGGTACCTGTGGGACTACTGTTAAAGGTAACCCTAAAATGTTAGTCGTATCTACAAACATCCCTGATGTTTCTTAATATTTTATTTAATAATATATGATTTGTAGTGTGTGTTTCTTTTTATTATTTTTTAATGATATTTTATTGATTATGCAATTACAGTTGTCCCAGTTTTTCCCCCTTTGTCCCCTCTACCCAGCAACCCCCACCCCCACTCCCTCAGGCAATTCCCCACTCTGTTCATGTCCGTGGGTCGTGTGTATAAGTTCTTTGGCTACTCCATCTCCTATATGGTACTTTACATTCCCTTGGCTATTCTGTAGCTACCTATTTGTACTTAATCCCCTCATCTCTTCACACATTCTCCGATGCCTCCTCCCATTTGGCAACCATCAAAAAGCTCTCTGCATCCATGATTCTGTCTCTGTTCTTGTTTGCTTAGTTTGTTTTTTACGTTCAATTGTTGATATATATTTATTGTCTGTTTATTGTTCATAGTTTTGATCTTCTTTTTCTTCAATAAGTCCCTGTAACATTTCATATAATAATGGTTTGGTGATGATGGACTCTTTTAGGTTTTCTTGTCTGGGAAGCTCTTCATTTGCCCTTTGATTCTAAATGATATCTTTGCTGGGTAGAGCAATCTTGGCTATAGATTCCTGCTTTTCATGACTTTGAATATTTCTTACCAATCCCCTCTAGCCTGCAAAGTTTCTTTTGAGAAATCAGATGACAGTCTTATGGGAATTTCCCCTTTAAGTAACCAACTTCTTTTCTCTTGTTGCTTGCAAGATTCTATCTTTAACCTTTGGCATTTTAATTATGATGTGTCTTGGAGTGGCCCTAGTGTATCCATTTTGTTTGGGACTCTCTGTGCTTCCTGGACTTGCATGTCTATTTCCTTCACCAAATTAGGGAAGTTTTCTTTCATTATTTTTTCAAATAGATTTCCAATTTCCTGCTGTTTCTCTTCTCCTTCTGGTACCCCTATGATGTGAATGTTGGACCTCTTGAAGTTGTCCCAGAGGCTACTTACATTATCTTCATTTTTTTTTGGATTCTTTTTTCTTCTTCTTCTGATTGGTTGTTTTTTGCTTCCTTATGTTCCAAATCATTAATTTAATTCTCAGCTTCATCCACTCTACTGTTGTTTCCCTGTAAATTGTTCTTTATTTCAATTAGTGTATCCTTTGTTTCTGACTGGATGTTTTTTATGCTCTTGGGGTCCTCACTAAGTTCCTTGAGCATGCTTATAACCAGTGTTTTGAACTCTGAATTTGATAGATTGCTTATCTCCATTTTGCTTAGTTCTTTTTCTGGAATTTTGATCTGTTTTTTCATTTGGACCATGTTTCTTTGTCTTCTCGTTTTAACAGCATCCCTGTGTTTGCTTCTGTGGATTAGGTTGAGCTGTTATGACTCTCTGTCTTGGTGGCATGGCCTAATGTAGTAGGTTTCCTGTAGGGTCCAGTGACATAACCTCCCTTATTACTCAAGCTGGGTGCTCGAGGTGCACCCGTTGTGTGGCTGAGTACACCCTCCTCTTGTAGTTGAGCCTTGATTGCTGTTGGTAGGTCAGTGGGAGGGATTTACCCAGACCAATCAGCTGCAAGGACCGGCTGTGACCACTGACCACCACCCTCCGCCCTCTGTAGAGGATCAGCTGTGCAGGGCAGGATGATGGTGCTCCCACATGGTCTTTAGTTGTCCACCATGTGCACAGGCTCTGGGGTTTCCCAGGTGGTGCTGACAAGGACAGTCCACTGGTGTTCTGCCTGGGGCCACCCTGCTTGAACTATAAAGCAATCTGAGATGGTGCTGGGCTTGGAGACTGCCAGGCAAAACCGAGCTGTGGATCTAGGCTGGCTGCTGCTAGTGCAGGGCCTGGGGCCACTTAACAAGTGATACAGGGGACGGGAGCTCACTGAGGCTGATGATTGCTTGTTTGCGAGGATTTAGGAAGTTGTGAAGCATGAGCCAAGACCAGCCATCAAATGGGAAAGTCATGTTTAATGGTTTGGGTGTGCCCGTAAGTTGGGTGGGAGGGAGTCTCAGGGAATCTCCAGGGTGGGGCCAACAGTGTTAGCCAGGTTGATGGAGTCTCAGATGTGGCACCTGCCTGCTGGCTCTGTGGCTCTGTGGGGGAAGGGCTCAGAAAGGCGACAGTGGCCTCTGCCTGCCTTTCTGACTGGGAGAAAGCTGTCCCCCAGCTCCTGCCCTGATGCCAGACACTTCAGCTCCTCCCTGTGTGCCAGAGGTGCCTTTTCAAGCTGCTACCCTGGTGCTGTTGCTCAGAGGGAGTGAGTCTGAGTAAGTCTGTGTGTGGGTTTTTTAAGGGGAACTACTTAGGACTCCAGTAGTTTCTTCCACCAACTCAATCCCTGCTGGTTTTTGCGTCAGAAATAATGGGGACTTAGGTTCCTGGCGCTGGAACCCTGGGCTGTAGTGCCCGGTATGGGGCTGGGACTTCTCGCTCCTGAGATATCCCTCCTGAATTTTTATCCACCACATGTGGATTTGAGACCCCTCCATTCTGTGTTCCCACCCCTCCTACCAGTCTGGATGGATGTGGTTTCTTTAATTCTGTAGTTGTCAGACTTCCCATTTAACTTGATTTTTGGCGATTCTGAGTGAGGGTTGTTTTATATTTTGGTTGTAATTTCGATGTGGTGCAAGGAGGCGAGCAGGGTTTACCTATGCTGCCATTTTTGGTGTGTGTTTCTTTTAAACATATTTTTCAGATTAAAAAAAATTTCTGTCCTCATTTTGCTTACTATACTTTTGTCCTTTTAATAGTGACCAGAACAATGCACGTAATAGGTATTTTCCCTAACTAAATTCTAACCTGCTACAAATTCTTAATCTTTTTTTATTTTTGTATTTTTATCTCTGTTTTACATCTGGTCATAATTAAAAATGCTAAGATAACGACTTAGGCTCAGGGCCTTTCTCCTCTGCTTCAGTACCAGACACTTGGAACATTTAGGCTGGCCAACCGGGGCCCTGAACTGAAAGCACACACCCTTTCTGGCTTCCCACATGCTGCAGTAGGCTCCCTATGGATAGACTGTGATATAGACTGTGTTTATTACTCTTTTGAAAGTATGTACATTTGTGGAGGAGGGTGCTTCTTAACATTAGAGTTGCAGGCCTATAGGCTATAGAGTTGTAGGGGATCACCCCCATGTTTAGAGTATAGAGGGGAGGTTTGGCCAGAGAAGATTGCTTTACTCTCACTTTTCACCCACACATTCCTTAAGTGGTTGTTTGATTAAAATACCTAACTTTGCTTCTGTGTAACCTGCCCTAATTTCAGAGTGTCAGCATTCAGGTGTCTTCATACAAAGTTGGTTATGTTGCTATGACAGAGAACAGAAGGAAGAGAAAACATGTTTTTTTAAGCCAATTAGAAACAATATTATTGTAGAAATTGAAAACTCACCTGTGAAATAGGTAAAACAACTTACAGGTTACTAGAAAATCAGATAAAATAAAATTACAAATTTTTAGAGGAAAGTAAGACTGAAATGTATCAGGATAATAGTCAGAATTACTCAGATTCATTGATTTGCTTTTTAAAAAAAATTTGTTATTTATTTATTGATTATGCTATTACAGTGGTCCCATTTTATTTCCTCTTTATTTCTCCCCTTAATTTCATGTCCATGGGCCATACATATAAGTTCTTTGGCTTCTCCATTTCTTATACTATTCTTAACCTCCCCCTGTCTATTTTATACCTACCAATTATGCTTCTTATTCCCTGCACCTCTTCCCCCCATTCTTCCTCCTCCTCTTCCCCTCTCATCACCATTTGTTATTCCATTCCTGTTCTAGTTGTTTGCTGAGTTTGTTTTTGTTTTCTTTTTTAGGTTCAGTTGTTGATAGTGTCAGTTTGTTGTCATCGTACTGTTCATAGTTTTGATCTTCTTTTTCTTAGATAAGTCCCTTTCACATTTCATATAGTAAGGGCTTGGTGGTGATGAACTCCTTTAACCTGACCTTATCTGGGAAGCACTTTATCTGCCCTTCCATTCTAAATGATAGCTTTGCTGGAGAGAGTAATCTTGGTTTTAGGGCCTTGCCTTTCATGACTTTGAATACTTTTTTCTAGCCCCTTCTTGCCCTTAAGGTTTCTTTTGAGAAATAAACTGGTAGTCTTATGGAAACTCCTTTGTAGGTAACTGTCTTCTTTTCTCTTGCTGCTTTTAAGATTATCTTCTTATCTTTAAGCGGGGAGGGGGAAAATGGGG